AGGAAAGACTCAACATTAAGAAAACTAAAATCATGGCATCAATTCCTGGCAAATAGATGTGGAAGAAATGGAGGTAGTGACAGATTTTATTTTCCTGGGTTCCAAGATCAATCACCGCAGATGGGGACTACAGCCAGGAAATTAAAAGGCGTTTGCTCCCGGGGAGGAAAGCTATGGCAAATCTAGACAGCTTACTAAAAAGCAGGGACATCACCCTGCCAACAAAAGAGCGTATAGTCAAGGCTATGGTTTTCCCAGTTGCAATGGATGGCTGTGAAAGTTGGACCATAAGAAAGGCTGAGCGCCAAAGAACTTTGAACTCTAGTGCTGGAGAAGACTCCTGTGAGTCCCTTGGACTGCAAGGCCTAGAGGAGATCAACCCTGACTGCTCTTTAGGAGGCCAGATCCTGAAGATGAAACTCAAATACTTTGGTCACCTAATGAGAAGGAAGATCTCACTGGAGAAGAGCCTAATGCTGGGAAAGATTGAGGGCAAAAGAAGAAAGGGACGACAGAGAACGAAGTGGCTGGATGGAGTCACTAAAGCAGTAGGCCTGAGCTTAAATGAACTCCAGAGGATGGTAGAGAATAGGAAGGCCTGGAGGAATGTTGTCCATGGGGTCACGATGGGTTGGACATGACTTTGCAACTAACAACAAAAGAAGGAAAGAATGACACCCATTCATTTGTATTTTTAAAATTGCACTTTGAGACATAAGATACTTTATTCCTTGAGGCTGGAAATTCCATCCTCTGGGGAATTCTGTCTGAAGTTTTAGTTTTGGGTGTTCATTCAAATAGCCCCATGATAAGAGATTTTATTTACTTGTAAGTGACACACACACACACACACACTCAAATCTTCTCACACTCTAAGGCAAGATACTGATGGAAATGTCAATAAAGGCAATTAACAGAAAATCATTTTCAAGGCAAAATAAAGTGCAAAGCCATCAGACAGCATTGGATTCACAGTTGGTTGATCTTCAATTAAATTTTTTAATTGTAAACCTAAAAAGAACAAAAGGGAAAAATAATAGCAGTGTACATTTCTCACCAAACTACTCTTCCATATATTCATCTGTTGTTGTACAATTACAGAATAGAAAGAGCAACAGAGTTGGAAAGGACCTTTGAGGTCATCTAGTCTAATCCCCTGATCAAGCAGGAGACCCCATAAGATTCTGGACAAATGGCTGTCCAATCTCTTTTTAAAAATCTCCAATGATTGAACATCTTCAACTTCTGAAGGCAAGCCGTCTCACTGGGGTGCCCTCTTGTCCACTGTTCTCATTGACAGGAAACTTCTCCTTAATTCTGGATTGGATTTCTCTTCGTTAAGCTTCCATCCGTTACTTCTTCTTTTGCCCTCAAGTTCTTTGAGAAGTACCATTTCTTAGTACAGTAGTGGCCAAAATTGTGGAAACATTTTCGGAAAAGTGTATTTTTGAGGTTTGATAGCTAATAACACCTCTTTTTTTGTTTTTGGAGTTTCAAGATAATCATATTCCACTGCTGGAATGGCCTGGGAATAGCCCAGAACTTCACCCAATTGAAAATCTATGGAGCCGACTAAAGAAACTTGTTAGTCAGAAGCGACCCAGCAATAAAACCCAGTTAATAGAAGCCATCATTCAAGCCATCATTCACATTATAACAGCTGCAGAACTAAAAGACTTGGTTCACTCCATGGGAAGACGTTGTAAGGCCATAATTCATGCTTAAAGGTTACCCAACGAAGTATTAACTGACATGGTGATAATTTTTGTATATCTCATTAGCTGCCCTGAGTCTCCGGAGAAAGGCGGCATATAAATTGAACTAATAAATTGAACTAATACATTTTTTTCTATGGTGATAATTTTTGTATATCTCGTTTTTTCTACGTGTTTCACTTTTCTTCTCTCTACTGTAACTGCTATTCTAATAGCAAATCCTTCATAAAAGGTATTGCATTACATTCTTGATTAAATTATCTTTCCATTGATATATAATTTTATGGTACTACCCCCCCCAAAAAAAGTGGTGTTATTAACTAGTTTTAGAAAATAAAAAAAGGTTTCCACAATTTTGGCCACTACTGTAGGCATAGATGTCCTAGTTAGTAGATGTATTTGTTCTGATTTGGGTCATACTGAATATGATGTAATATTGGGGACTGTCTTCCCTAAAGGGCCTCCCTGTAATTCAGGATCAACTACTGTTTTTCTCCTGAATGTTTTTCTGACTTTTCAGTTAGCTGAAGGAAGCCGTGGTGGCTCAGTAGTTAGAATGCAATACTGCAGGACTGACTCACTGCTTACTCCAGGAGTTTGATTCTGAGCAGCTCAAGGTTGACTCAGCCTTCCGTCCTTCCAAGGTGGGTAAAATGAGGACCCAGATTGTTGGGGTCAATAGGCTGATTCTGTAAACCGCTTAGAGAGGACTGTAAAGCACTGTGAAGCGGTATGTAAGTCTAAGCATTAGTGCTATTGCTAGTCATCCATAATGGACCAACCTTTGCTGGTTGGTTTCAAATCTAGCAGCCTGCCACCATGAAAAGGGCTGTGTGTTGAAAACTGATCTGTCCCCGTCCACACACACACACAAACACAGCCAGCCGAGGGTTAAGGAAACACTTTGGCACACACCCAGGTCTTTATCTCCAACTTGGCAGCGATTTACACACCATCTGCCAAGTGCATTTATTTCCACAAAACAGAAAGATAAGATACTTAGCGTACAAAAGTCCAATCAGAATAATATTTCTCTCAGCAGTTTCCGGACGAGGCTTTAGTGACTATCCAAGGTTTACTTTTGTTCGTCACAGGGATCGCTGGCCACCACCCTCTATTATATAGTCTCTGGGGTGTGATCCAGTGACTCAGTTCTAATCCCTAGCACGCCTCCTGAGCTGCTGCAATCGTTTATCACGCCTTCGGAGGCATGCGTCCAGGAATGATGTCTCTCCCTCGCTCTCATCCGAGCCACCTGTCTCCCTGCTAATCTCCTCTCCCTCGGCCGGCACCTGAGACAGTGCCAGAGGGGAGGGGCCTGGAGAGGGAGGCCTGGCTGACTCCTCTTCCTCATGCTCGGAGCTTTCTTCCTCCGATGGGACAGGCTCAGAGGGCGGGGCCACAACAAAAACTTCCATCTGCCCTGTTTGAGCCCAGTTGTCGCTGTTAATGCACAAAGGTCTTAGGAAGAATTTCATTAACTCTTTTGCACCCGTTGAATCCCAAGGATTCTAAAATGTGGAGGGGAGAAAGACGATAGGACCATTTGCTTCCAAATAGAACCAAGCAACTGTTCCGTTAATTATAGACTTGAGAAGAAGCTCTGGAAGATCAAAGTCAATATCTCTTGCTCAGAGAAGGGGCCAGTTAGGAAGGAGAAATGAAACGGTAGAAAATATTTCCATAATGCCATTTCCGTCCTTTGGTGATCTTCAAAGGTTGGGCATCATCAAGCTTGGCGATCAGGCTTATAGAAGCATGTTTTGCATGAGAGTGTGTACAAAAACGTGGGTACAAGGACCATTGCAAATGATCTTACGGAGAAAGCTTCAGGATTCATTGAAGTGTATAAAGTAACTATTTTAGAATTTTGCATCTTCCTTAGCTGGGTGAAACCAGGCTTAATAGCAGTAACTGTGAGAGGGATCTTGGACTCTTAGTGGACAACCAGCTAAATAGGAGCCAGCAGTGTGAGGCGGCAATCCTAAACTGCATTAACAGAGGGATACAATCAAGATCAAGGGAGGTACTAATACCACTCTATAAAGCCTTAGTAAGACCACACCTAGAATACTGCATCCAGTTTTGGTCACCACACTGTAAAAAAGATGTTGAGACTCTAGAAAAAGTGCAGAGAAGAGCAACCAGGATGATTAACACTAAAACATGAAGAACGGTTACAGGAACTGGGTATGGCTAGTCTAGTAAAGAGAAGGACCAGGGGAGACATGATAGCAGTCTTCCAATATTTGAGTGGCTGCCACAGAGAGGAAGAAGTCAAGCTATTTTCCAAGGCACCTGAAGGCCAGACAAGGAATAATGGATGGAAACTGATCAAGGAGAGATTCAACCTAGAAATAAGGATAATTTTTCTGACAGTGAGAACAATCAACCAATGGAACAGTTGCCTTCGTAAGTTGTGGAAACTTCATCACTGGAGGCTTTCAGGAAAAGATTGGACTGCTATTTGTCAGAAATGGTGTAGGGTCTCCTGCTTGGGCAGGAGGTTGGACTAGATGACCTATGAGGTCCCTTCCAACTCTGTTAATCTAATCCTAACCTTTCCCAAGGAGAGAATAATATGGAGAAAAAAAGTTTTAAGAAGCTTTGGGATAAAATACAGGATAGGATCCTTCCCCACCTCCCTTCCCTTCTCTTCCAGAATTCTTAGAAGCTAAGGCATCCCTCGAGATCATTGAATTCTGTTTCGTTAATTATGCTGTGGTTAATGCTGGGCTCTAAAAAATTGTGTGTCAGTGCAAATACAAACTCTTATTTTGTGTCAGTCGTGAAATGTAAAATTTGTTACTACCGGTTCTGTGGGCGTGGCTTGGTGGGGTGGTAATGTGACTGGGTGGGCGTGGCCAACTTTTTTTAAAAAAACTTTTTGAAAGCACTTTTTTTACAACCTATTCGGGCGAATAGGTTGTAAAAAAAATGCTTTTAAAAGGTAAAAAAAAAGGCTCTGATGATCACAGCTGTGACGTGTGATCGTCAGAGACTTTTTTTTAATCTTTTAAATGCAGGAAGTGATGACACCCGCGTGGGTAGGTGGAGCCTTGCGCCACCATCGCTACTGGTTCTCCGAATCACCTGCCACAATCGCTACCGGATCGCCTGGTCTGGTCCGAACTGGGAGCATTTCACCCCTGCTTTGTGTGAACTGCACTTAAGTGATTTCTCTAGTCTCAGAAGCTAAGTAGGGTTGGGTTGGGCTAGCATTTGAATCAAGCTCAGCTGAAAGGAGACTTCATAATTTTATGTATTTTTTTTTTTAATCTGCAGAGCTCTTTCTCCAACATCACTTGTGCGGTTTTCATCAACGGCCAGGACCTTCCATTTCTGACCCACAGAAAAGGAAAGAGAGCAGGCACATGAGAGAAAAACCCACATTATTTCGCCCACTTCTACTCCACTTCTACTGCAACCCTCAGCAGGTATGTTCCTTCTCAGTCTTCGGAGGCTGTTTGCTGTATCGTATAATTTTGGTGGATGCTTTTCTTTTCTTTGTGTTTTTTTTAAATTTTTATTGGATTTTTAAAAAATATACATCAATATGAATATATGAACAGTGTGTCCTCTGGATATAATTCATTTTGATAGAAACAGCAATAATAGTAATAGTTGTTGCATTAATCAAGTTTATGTAATCCTAGTATTGATATACATGATTGTTTTCTAGAGTAGTTATTCAATATTTCAATGTTCCATTTTAATGTCAATAATATTATTAAGCATACAATAGTAGCCAAAATTGTGGAAACCATTTGGGGAAAGTGTATTTTTGAGGTTTGATGGCTAATAACACCACTTTTTTTTTTTTTTTTGAGTTTCAAGATCATTCCACTGCTGGAATGGCCTGGGAATAGCCCAGACCTTAACCCAATTGAAATCTATGGAGCCAACTAAAGAAACTTGTTAGTCAGAAGCGACCCAGCCATAAAACCCAGTTAATAGAAGCCATCATTCAATCTTGGTTTCACCTTATAACAGCTGCAGAACTAAAAGACTTGGTTCACTCCATGGGAAGACGTTGTCAGGCCGTAATTTATGCTAAAGGATACCCAACTAAGTATTAACTGACATTAACTGATAATTTTTGCATATCTCATTTTTTCTATGGTGATCATTTTTGTATATCTTATTTTTTCTACGTGTTTCACTTTTGTTCTTTCTACTGTAACTGCTATTCTAATACCAAATCCTTCATAAAAGTTATTGCATTACATTATTGATTAAATTAACTTTCCACTGATATATAATTTTATGGTATTACTCCAAAAAAAAAGTGGTGTTATTAGCTAGTTTTAGAAAATACACTTTTCCCAAAAGGTTTCCACAATTTTGGCCACTACTGTACATAGTGATACCATTGGTGGATGCTTTTCCAGGGTCCATCCCTGCCCCCACCCTCGAGAAACTAGGACTGTTTGTGCAGCCATTGGAGAAGAAACACAATTCCATGTCTCTTCCGCATCCTTCAGAAAATGAACTTCGACATGCTACAGATAATCTTCAATTTACGATCACAATTGAGCCCCAAATTTCTGTTGTTCAATGAGGAAATTTGTTACGTGAATTTTGCCCCATTTTACAAATGTTCTTGCTGCATTTGTTAAGTGAACCACTGCAGCTGTTAATTTAGTACCCCAGTTGTTAAGTGAATCTGGCTTCCCCATCGACTTCGCTTGTCAGGGCACTGAAATTGTCATAAATACGAACCAGCTCTCCAGCATCTAAATGTAAATCACGTGACCATGGGGATGCTGCAAAGGTTGTTAAGTGTGGAAAATGGTCATAAGTCACTTTTTTCCAGTACCGCTGTAACTTCAAACAGTCACTAAATGAATTGTTGTAAGTTGAGGACTACCTGTACTAGCTGTAACCCTCCCTTTTTTATTTTTCCAAATCTTCAGTTTGACTGAAAGCAGCTCCTAGTAGAAGGTAATTCTTCAGGATAAGAAATATATTATAATCTCAGAGACAGACTCTGTTTGCTTGAAGCAATTGCATGATTCCTTGTTGATTTGACAAATACAGGAAATTTTTTTTTAAATGTCCTATTTTGGTTTCCATAGTTATATGCCATTGTTGTGGCCAGAATCTGACTTTGATTAGGGTCCCATTCTTTGCGGGAGGCTTGTGTGGGTGAAGAAATTGGCCTCCTTCCCTTCTGCCATGAAATTATGATTATTTGGACAATAATATCTATTTGTATCATCTATGCTCTTTTCCCCGGTAGGAAACAAGGATGTGAGGGGAATAATCCTCTATTTTTCCTTCCATGTTTTTAAGGAAGACATATGAGTATATCCTTACATATCTTTACATATGAGCATATATGTAAAACGTATCTTTGCATATGAGCAGTAAAGCTAAGGCTCGGCTGGAACACCAACTAGGAGGAAATTCACAAGTGTGATTCACACACCATCTGTGTCCTGATGATCAGATAGTCTGCTGACCGTTTCCGAAGAAACATGTCCTTGTTATGGAGCCTCCATCTTGACAGTAGTTAAAGCCAGATTCAAATGGTTCAGAAAGTGAGGGAAAGTGCAGTTTTCCATAGGAATCTGCAATATTGATTTGCATGGAGGCGGAGTCTGAAGGAGGTCCCACTGGCCTGCTGTAGGACCACTTCCCATTCATCTGGCCACAAGCTCTGAGCCACCGTGGCCATTTCTGCTGGGGCTGATAGAGAACAGAAGCTCTCAGGCCATGTCAACAAGTACAAGGAAACAAGTATCAGTATAGACATAGACATGGACAGATGAAAAAAAATTGGCACAAATAAAAGGATATAAATAAGCAAACATAGCCATAAACACATAAAATGAGTACATATAAATGAGAACAGTAGGACAGGGACGGTAGGCAGGAAAGGTCCACGATAGACAGTTTAAGGTAAAAGGTATGGGGGTTAGAGAAACTAACAACAGGTTCAGGTAGAGTGTTCCAGACATTTACTACTCTATTGCAGAAGTTATATTTCCTACAATCAAGATTAGAGTGAATTACATTGAGTTTGAATCCAATGATAGCCCTTGTGTTATTACGGTTGAAGTTAAAGTACGCATTAACAGGTAGGACATTATGGTATAGTAAATAATCTTGTGTACTAAGCTTAGGTCAGAACGTAGATGGCATAGTTCAAGGCCTAAAATTTCAAGCCTGGTGGTATAGGGAATTTTATTTCGAGCAGAGGATTTGAGTACTCTCCTAGTAAAATATCTCTGGACCCTCCCTAATATAGTGGGTTGTGAGAATAACCTTGAGGAACAGGAAGAAACTAACTATAAACTCGGAGCCACCGTGGCCATTTCTGCTTGGGCTGTTAGAGAACAAAAGCTCTCAGGCCATGTAGTGGGGTGTGAGAATAACCTTGAGGAATGGGAAGAAAAGCAACAACGAAGACAATGGTCCAGTAAAAGAAATCTGAGCCCAGAGCAGAAATGTAGTTTGAGAAAGCATCTCAATCTTGACACTTCCAAGTTCTCTTGAAGATAAAGGCAGAAGCGGGGAGGAAAGGCTTTCAAGATTTTGTTAGTCTAACCCTATAATAAAAGTAGTTTTACTATTCATAACTTTGGTTTTCTGCTCTGGGCTACCTGGAAGGGTTGACAAGAAATCAAGACTTTTTTTTTGTTCTTTTCTGCCTTCTCTTCCCTTGTAACCTCAGGAGTGGATTCCCACGAGGTTCTTATCCTACTAGGAATCTCAGCTGCCGTCTCTCACAGAGGTGGTAAATAAAATGTCATGATGGCAGCTGTGATTTCACCATCAAAGTCTCACTTCCTTTTTAGTGTATTGACACAAGAGGAAACGGAACAATTGTGGACACCACTTGGATTATTTTTTTTTCCCCACTCCTGCAGTTGTTCCAAGAGATTTGCTAGAGAGGAGACAGGAATTCTTCACCTTCTCTGCTTCTAAACCCTTTGCTGGAGAATAAAGCTATTTAGTTGCTTGCACATACCATGTTTTCCTGAAAATAAGACCCTGTCTTATATTTTTTTGAATGCCAAAATAAGCATTTGGCCTTATTTTCGAGGAGGTATTATTTTGGGATGCGTGGAGCAAGACGGGGCTCCTCTTGCCGTCTTACCTAATTTCCAGCTCTGTCTCCCTAACCAGAGGAAATGGCGGCTACCGGCTGTGCATACATTTAAATATTTGGGGGGCTTATTTTGGGGGGAGGGGTTATTTTAGTGCAGGGTGGATTTGATTTAAATCGAGTTGATTTAAATCACAATTTAAATCATGATTTAAATCACTAGTAAAAAGGCTTGATTTAAATCAGCTCAATTTAAATCATAATTTTTAAAGAGCAACTGTCATCTCTGCTACTCCTTTGACCTACTGTTGACTCACCGATAGTCCCAGTGTTGCAGAATATACAGCCTCATGCTACATAACTAAGCTCCATTTCATGCTGGATAAACTAAATTATTTCTGTATCTTAAATAGAAAACCTATCTTACGATAGATTTTTACCCCAAAAGTTTTTTATTAAAATAAATTCGATTTAAATTAAAAAAAATCCGACTTAAATCAAAAAAATCCGATTTAAATAAAAAAAAATGATTTTTTTGATTTTTTTAAAAAAAATCATTGATTTTTATCCACCCTGTTTTAGTGCATGTGCTCAAAAGCCCGATTAGGCTTATTATCTGGGGAGGTCTTATTTTCAGGGAAACACGGTAGTAGTTCCTCAATTTTATCTCTCTACTCCTCCCCCCCAATGTCAAGCTTAATTGTTTGGTGTTTTTCTAGTGATGTTCACCGGTCATGCAGTCAGGTTCTTCTTATCAGTGATAATCCCCAAGTATCCATATTTCCATTATGGATATCATCAACAGCATCATCTATTTTCTTTAGAATCCTAAAATGGTTTATGTGGAGATCTTCCTGCATGTTATCCCTACCATGACCTTGTGGGGCACGTTGGTTTAATAGTGGTGGCCCAAAGTCCCCCTTTGACCTTCTGTGGTTGAGGTTAAATTATTAAATGATCTCTTCATAATTGTTGAGCATTCCATTTTAGAAATGGAGGGACACTCAGTGGCTAAGACGCTGAGCTTGTCGATCAAAAGGTCGGCAGTGCAGCGGTTCGAATCCGTAATGCCGGGTAACGGGGTGAGCTCCCGTTACTTGTCCCAGCTTCTGCCAACGTAGCAATTTGAAAGCACGTAAAAAATCCAAGTAGAAAAATAGGGACCACCTTTGGGGGGAAGGTAACAGCGTTCCGTGCGCCTTTGGCATTTAGTCATGCTGGCCACATGACCACGGAGACGTCTTCGGACAGCGCTGGCTCTTCGGCTTTGAAACGGAGATGAGCACCACCTCCTAGAGTCGGGAACGGCTAGCACATATGTGCGAGGGGAACCTTTACCTTTATCACTTTAGAAGCTTTGGATATTTAGAGCTCAAATTGTAC